GAGAGAGAAAGGGAAAGTGCGAAAGCAAGCTGTCAGGTCTAGGACTCAAATCGCAGTCAGCCATGTGGGAGTCCAGTGCCTTGACCACCATGCTACCTGCTGGCCCCCTGGCGTTATTTTTCAAGCTGCCAGGTCCGAGACTTGAACTGTGGTCAGCCATGTGGGAGTCCAGCATCTCAACCTGCATCTCATTATGCCACCTGCTGACTCCCTAGAGGGAGTTTATTAAGGGTGGGGTTGGGTAGAGGTGAAAGTATGGGTGAAATAGGATTAAGCCTATGAAGAGAGGGTGGAAGTATAGGCACAATAAATTTTATTTATTTACTTTTATTTTAAACTTTGTGCTATAGGGTGTGGGCTCTTACTGGAGACAGAAACAGAGAGGGGGTAAATGAGAAAGCACCCCCAGGAGGGATGGCTAGGCTACAATCCCTTCTCCTCCATTCTTCTCTGGGGATTTTGAGCGTGCACATGCACATGTGACTGGCCTGGCATGTTTTATAAGTTGCCAAATCCCGACTCAAGTCATGCAATCGGCGTGTGGGATCTAACCACCTTCACCACCATGCCATCTGCTGGCTCCTTGTTCACAAGTTTTATTAGAATAGTCTATATACTTTTGTAGATGTTTACATTTTTTAAAAAGTTAATAAAAATTCAAGAGCAAGAAATGACACAAAAAGAGATATATCGATAAAAGTCAAAAAAGTAACATGGACAAAACTAAACTTTTAAGATAAAGGAGAGTTTGGGGTATGTGATCTGACATGTAAAGAGCTTGGAAGTTGTTATCTCTCATCACACAATAAGAAAAAAGCAGAAGAAACTGAAAATCATTACTTTTCTTAGTTCCATTAGAGAACTGAGGTGATAGGACAAACTGATACCCTGAAAATTGGAAAGAAAAGCAGGTGGAAGTAGAAAATCACAGCCTATGAGGAGCAGAAGCCCAGGGGCAGAAGACCAAAGATGGAGTCATTACAGGTAAGAACACTTAAAGTATAAGCGACACATTGCTGAGGTTCAGCGTATACTAACTTGAGTGTTTAAAACTCCAGGTGTTGGGGAACAGGCTTAGAGAAACTCTAACACTTGGATTTTGGGTAATTTTACCTCCAAAAGTACCACCAGGTTCTCACTGCGAAGTTCCTGTTTCCAGTAGGGGAAGGGAAAGCAACTATTTTGAGCTAATGCACAGAGCTCTAAGTTCTCCTTAACAGCAGCCTGTTTTCAAGGAAAACTGTTTTACCAGATCCTAACTCATTTGAACTTTAAAAAAAATTATTTTATTTAACTTTATTTTAATTTGACCAGAGAGGGACACACACACACACACACACACACACACACACACAGTGTGAGAAAACAAGCTGCCAGGTCCAGGACTCGAACTATGGTCAGCTATGTGAGAGTCCAACATCTCTAAGCACCACACCACTGCTGGCCCTCAGCTCATTTGAATTTTACAAGAGTCTAATCAACCTAGGGGAAGGCAAATACTCAATTCTGACATCTTCTAGCCTTCTAATTTTGCTTAAAGGGTGAAGGAAGCTGAGAAGCACTTGCGAAGGTTGCAAACTGCAGGCACAGGTTCACTAAAAAGAATGAGACCAAATGACAGCAGTGTAGAACATTTCTTCTATCCCCATTTCTCATCATTACATCAGTAGGTCTCCTATACAATAAAAGGAGATTAGAGCTAAGAGAACTGTAAGCATCAGAACCTTTTTAAAGAGGAGCCTACAGGAAAATCCAAGGATAATAAAGGAGACAAAAAGAAGGGCAGTTCAGGAAAATTTTTGCCTCTGTAAAATAACTATGACAAAAATAAGCTATAACTATGACAAAAATAACGATGTAAAATAAGCCATGACACCACAGCTTCTGTAGTCTTAACTCCAAGAAAGATAATCATAAGACTTCATAGCAAAGTCCTGTTTAGTACAGTTCTTTGCATCCACTAATTCATGTCTGGCTTTTGACAAAAAGTTGAAAGGCATGTGAAAAGGCAAATGAACAAACAAACAAACAAACAAAAAACAATGTAGAAAAAAAAAATCAAACACTGGAACTAGATTCATGTATGACAGACATTTTGGAATTGTCAAACCAGAAACTTAGAATAACTTTCATTAAGATAATAAGAATGCTCATGAAAAAAGTATTCAACATGAAACAACACATTGTTAACGTGGACAGAGAGATGGAAACTCCAAGGAAGACTCCAAAAGAATTGTAAGGAAAATAAAATACAGTAGCAAATAAGGAGCGCCTTTGATGGACTCATTGGTAGACTGGAAATGGCCAAGGGAAGAATCTGCACGTTTGAGGCCATCACAATAGAAACTTTAAAAAACTGAATGCAAAGAGAAAAATGAATAAACAAAAACTGAACATCCAAGAACTGTGAGACAATTACTAACAGTGTAACATATTTGCAGTGGGAATACCAGAAGAAGAAAGAATAGAAATAGTTGAAATAGTAATGTTTGAGAATTTTCCAAAATTAATGACAGACATCAAACCACAAAACCAGGAAGCTCAGAGAACACCATGCAGGATAAACACCCAAATATCAACGTAGAGGCATCTCATAATCAAACGGCAGAAAACTAAAGACAGAGAAGCCAGAGAAAATGAATGAACAAAAAGATGTCTAGGGATCCATATAAGACCATGACACAATTATAAATGTTCATTTGAGGCTGGAGCCCACGACTTAACGGTGATAGCAGTATACAGGGTTGCAGGTTTTTCTTTAGAAATGTCCAAGCTTAGGTGCAGAAATGAACATAAGAGATAGCTGGACTAATGCAGGGTTAACATTTTTCTAGGATGGTATAGTGGAAGAGCAGAGCTTTACAGAAGTTAAAGGTGTGATGAAAGTAATATTGATATGTAGTAAAGAGAGAGGTATGAGACAGGGATAGGCTGATACAGGGCAAGAGAATAATGGTCTTAAAATTGACACAGAGTAACGGAGTGAGAGGGACAGGACTAGTGTGTGGTCAGTGTTGGAAAGTAAAATTGAGATTTCAGAACTGGAAACATTCTGGTAGATAAAGGTCCAGGTTATGGCCATAAGAGTAAGTAAACTTGAGTAAGAATAAATGACTCTGGGGTTTTCAAAATGGAAATGAAAGAATTTCGGCTGGGATTATTTTCTGAGTTGAATCATTGTTTCCTCGCTCTCCATTCCAGACACTTGGCCTGCATCAGGGGCGTAAAGGGGAGGGGCATATAGCCAATAGGAGAGCTATTCAACTCCAATAGTAAAGAAAATCCTATGGTATGTACGTTTTCTCAAACACACACGGGGTCATATCCAATAAAACATTTTTTCCTATGATCCGATGTTAAAGAAATATGAAAAAGAAATACTTTATTTATTTCTTTTTAAAGAGAAATAAATGGGCATACATTTGATATATGCAATACTGGGGAGGTATACTGTATGTTTCTTTAAAGTTGTGATAAAATTGTGATATATAATACCAGTGGGGAAGGGAAATGATGTATGTGAAGGTCAAGTCAATGGGATTTTAATTCCAAAGAAAATCATAAATGGATGAAGGGAAGCAGAGGTTTCACCAGCAGAAAATCCCAAAGGTACTAAACTGTCAGAATGATCACTGTAAGAACAGCTCTGCATGCTGGACTTACATGACTTTCTAAATGATTCTGTTCCCTTAAAAATACAAGCACCTTATATTTTTAAGATGAGAAAGGAAGCATTATAGATTTTAGAAGTATAACCTGCCTTAATCATATAGCTCTTCCTATCAACTTTACTGCTTGAACTTGTGAGAAAAATAAATGGGTTCAATTTCAATTTTTTAAAGTCTTTGTAAGACCAGTTAATGAAAGAGTCATAGAAGTATGGATATAGTCCATCAGAGAAAAGAACAATGGACCAGAATGTTTCATAAACTGGGTAAACACACTCAAATATAACATAATAGGGACCAGCAGTTGGCATAATGGCTATGTCGCTGGACTTCCATGTAGTCAACTGCAGTTCAAGTCCCAGACACAGTGGCTTAAACTCATGCCAGGCATGTGTGCGTGTGTGCCCAAGATTCTGAGAGGAGAATGGAGGAGAAGAGATTGTGGCATGGCCATCCTCCCTGGGTGGTAATTTCTCGCATTCTGTCTCTTTCCATTTTTCTGGCAAGTGTATGCATCCTGTAGCAAAAACCTCTTCAAAAAAAAAAATCAAATATAACATAATATTCACATTACAATGTACATGAATTGGCTATTGAAAAACTAAGCTTAATTATTTTCCCATTTTGTTATTCCATTTCACTCATGTATTTTATTTAACTTTATTTATTTATTTTTAACTTTGACCAGAGAGGGATAGTGTGTGTGTGTGTGTGTGTGTGTATGTGTGTGTGTGTGTGTGTTCATTTGTGAGAGACAGAGACAGGGAGAGAGAGGGAAGGAGGGAGAAAGAGAAGGAAAGTGAGAAAGCAAGCTGCCAGGTCCAGTACTTGAACCATGGTCGGCCACGTGGGAATCCAGCACCCTTAACCACCCTGCAACCTGCCTGCCCCACAAGTCAATCTTAAGACTACAAAAAAAGGGAAAAGGTCATATATTATATGCTTGACCCGGTGCTCTGAACCAGGTACACAAAGATGGCATAGTCCTTTACCTCAAAAGGGTGCAGTTCAGTGTAGCGAGGTATCTCATCTAAATAAGCACTTGAAATAAAATGTTAGAAATGCTAAAATGTCTGGAGATAATAGGAGGGGTAGTCATTCCTCCAAGAATATCAGAAAAGGCTTCATAAGGGAGGTGACCTCTACGGTGAGAAATTTTTTAGGAAAAGTACTTTACTTTCAGCAAAGTTTTCTTAAGTAATAAAGGACGCTTTGATCACTGCTAAATAATAATGACAACTTGATTGTAGCTTATAACAACTATTTTGTATGTATTTTTTACTTAGAGAGTTTTCACAAAAATATTTATAACTGAGAGTTAAGTTTACTTACTGTTATCTTACGAGGACAGTCATTGGAACAAAGACCACTGAGAACTGTGGAAAAATTAAAAAAACAGCTTATTATTATTGTTCCAGTATAAACTTCTATTTAAAGTGAACTCTAATTTCCCCCTAAAATTTATTAATATGTCCTACTGATTCATGATCATAAGCAGAAACCGTTCCAATTTCTTTAAATCTGAGCAAATTAAATTTCTGTTATTCACTTTATACAAATAGTTCAAAAGCCTTTAGCTTCTGTGGTATTGTGAACTGTATGAGTAGGTGAGATAATTAATTCTGGTTATATCATACCTACTGTAGGTTCTGCTTTGCACTGGTTAGATAAATTCTGAGGATGACTCAGAAACTGATAACGAGGTGCTAAATGCAAACCAATTAAAATACATGAAAAAAACAAATACAACATTTAGCACTTTTCATTTCAAACTAGATTTTTTTTACCATTTAACTAGTCAAAGTTTTTGGGTAAAAGATTTTGGGCATCCTGATAACTGTAATGAAGAACATATCATAAAATAATTGATAAGCATACAACAAATATATAAAAATAATTTAAAGATACATTTATGTTATAATTTCTAAAAAAGAGGTTAGAAAATTTGAATAATTTCGTTTTTAAAAAGTTTATTTCATATAAGAGAAAGAGGGAGAGAAAAGAACAGACAGGTTCTCCCAACAAGGTCTTCACACCACAATACACCCAATAGTCTCGGCCAGCCAGGAACATGGGCATGGGCACATACACCCAGCACATCTAGAGAGACCTCAGGATGAGAACCTGGGTCTTTTTCATGATCCTCCCGCAATGTGGAGTTTTGGGTTAGCCCTGTGCTACCTTGTTTCAAGTTTTAAAACATAACTATATTTCTATCACTTCTGGTGAATGGAAACTTTGTAAGAAAGCAGTAGTTCTGTGTTACTAGTTAAATATTCTGTATGTTATAGAATATTTATATAGAGAGTACTAAACATATAGATTTATATAAATATAGAGATCTAAATATAGAATATGACTCTATATATTACAACTAAATTTATGGTAATTAAAGATAGCTGATAGTTTTGCTAAACAAGCACAAATTATTTCAATAATAATTATTTATAAAATAGCAATCATTCTAATAGAAATATTTTACTTAACCAGGGTGTTACAGTCTGAATGTTGGTGTCCAACCAAAATATAAACTTTAGAACCTAATAATATGCAATGTAATTATATTACATTGTTAAGATGTGGCCTTTGAAAAATAAAGTCATGAAGCCTCTATATTCATGAGTGGAATTAATACCCTTATAAAAGATGCTTAGGGGAGGGAGTTCCTCTGCCTCCTTCTTCCATGTAAAGACATACCAACAGGTTGTCATCTTTGAAGCAGAGAATTAACCCCTACCAGATACTGAGTCTACTTGATCTTGAACTTGCCAGCTTCCAAAACTGTGAGCGATAAATTTCTGTTGTTTATACATTATGCTGACCTAAGGTATTTTGTTAACAGCAGCCAGAATGAATTGAAACACACGGAATATAAACAAAATGATCAAGAAATGAGGATGATAAATTGCATCACAATAGAAGACACATTTGTTTACTATAGCGCACCCACATTAAATGTAAGTTGAGAAAACAGTGAAATAAATATTTTACACTTGCAAAATAGTTTTCAGTGTTTAAATTTCCTATTTTAGCACAGTGCCATGTTCTCACTCTTTTAACTTCTCTGTCTCCTTTTCCTTCTCCCCTCAACTCTAGGTAGACATTGGTACTTCTTTTCCAGTTGTCCAAAAATGGTTCTCATAAACCTTCATTTAAATCATTATCTTGTTGAATAGTAATTATTATTTCAACTTTGCTACAAGGTACATACACTTGCCTGAGAGAGACAGAGGGAAAGTGAGAAATCATCCCCCCAACTCCTTCCAGGGAATGGCCATGTCACAAACTCTTTTCCTCCAATCTCCTCTTGGGATTTTGGGCACACATGCACATGTGCTAGTGTGGTTTTCAAGTTGCTGGGTCTGGGACTCTAACTGTAGTTGGCCATGTGGAATACAGCTGCCTTAATCTCTACATCACCTGTTGACCCAGTTAATCCTTTTTTTAAAGTTAATTTATTTCTTTCATGAGAGAGGGAGAGATGAGAGAGAGGCAGAACCAGGTACCTTTGATGAGGTTTCCACACTATAGTGCCCCACCAGCACTGCAGCTAGCCAGGATCATAGGGGAACTCATGGGCAAGACAGGTGTGTTCAGATATATCTGGGACAAGAATCCAGAGCCTCATCACATGGCCTGCAGCACCACAAAGCAGTGCCCAGCAGTGCTGCAGCATAGCAACTGGGTCTGAATAGTAATTACTTGTCCACAAGCCTGTCTTTGTATTTGGATGTTAGCTCTGCATCATTTTATTATTTTCTCAGGGTCTTGCCCAATTATTCCTGCAGCAGAAACTTGTTAAAGGGCAGAAAAAGATGGATTACTCAGTAATAAATGGCTCTGAATAATTGGTGACTTGGAGAAAAATAAAGTTAGGGCTTACTTCACAACACAAAACATATTTGGGCACTGGCCCTGCAGCCAGGTAGTTAAGGGAACTGGATCCCACATGGCTGACTATGCTGTTTCAGTCTCAGCCTCAGTAGCTTGAACAACATGCTGGGTGTGTGAGCTTGCATTCCCCAAATCCTGGCAGGGTGGGGACATGGAGAAGGAACTGCAGTGTGACCATGCCTCACTCAGTGTGTGTGCTTTCTCCCCCTTCTTGTTGCTGGCAAGTACATGCATGCTCTAGTAATGAAAACAAACCAACCTTATATTTGGTAAAGACATAATAAACTCTTATACTTCAATAATAAAAAAAAAGCTCCCAATTGAAAAATAGGTAAAGGATCTGAAAAGACATTTCTCCAAAGAAATATACTAGTGGCCAGTAAGCTCAGGAAAAGATGCCCAATATCATTAGCCATTAGGAAAATATATACCAAAACCAACATGAGCTACACTTCCATTTTCACAGCATTATCCACAATAGCCAAGAGGCAAAAGCAACTCAAACATCCACTGATGAATGAATATATGAATGAAATGTGGTAAATACATACAAGGGAAAATTATTCAGCCCTGAAAAGGAAGGGAATCCTGGCAAGTTACAACATGGATGAACCCCAAGGACATAATGAAAATAAGTGAAATAAGCAGGTCATGTAAAGACAAATAACTGCATGATTTCACTTAACAAGGCATCTAAAGTAGTCAAATTCATGGAACCACAAAGTAGACTATTGGCTATCAGGGGCTCGGGAGATAGGAAAAAGGAGAGTTATTGTTTAATGTGTATAGTTTCAGCTCTGCAAGATGAAAAACTTGTAGAGAGATGTGTTCACAGCAATCCATATAGATGACATGATTGAATTAAATCCTAATTTTTTTTTTTTTTTTTTGGTGGTAGCAGGGGCAGGTTTGTCATAGGGCATCTGCACTCACTAGAGAGAGACAGAGACGGGGGAAGTGAAAAATCACCCCTTAGTGGGGTGGCCATGCTGCAATCCCTTCTCTTCCATTCTCTTCTTGGGATCTTGGGTATGCAAGCACCTGTGCCTGGCATGATTGTCAAGCAACTAGGTCCAGGAGTAACACCACAGTCCACCATGAGGGAATCCAGTGCCTTAATTACCATGCGACCTACTGGCTCCATTCTTAAACACGTTTAAGATGGCAAATTTTATGTTATGTGTTGTTTACCACAATTTAAAAAATGGTAAAGATGGTCAGGACCAGCAGTTAGCGTAATGGCTATGTCGCTGGACTCCCATGTAGTCAATTGTGGTTTGAGTCCTAGACCTGAACGCTTAAACTCATGCCGGGCACATATGCATGCGTGCCCAAGATCCCAAGAAAAGAATAGAAGAGAAAGAATGTGGAGTGGCCATCCCAGATGATTTTTCGCTTTCTATCTCTCTTTCTCTGTCTTTCTGGCGACTGCACATGCCCTATAGCAAAATAAATAAATACATAACCAAAAAACCCAAAAACAAAACAAAATCTCTGGGGAGGAGGTAATGGTAAAGATGGTAAAAAACAAATAAACAAGAAACTCACAATGAAGTAAGTTTATACCCACTAGGATGACTATAGTAAGAAAGTCAGAAAAACAACTGAGGTTGAGGATTAAAAGAAATTGAAACCCCCTTATACAAGGGATCTTCAAAGAGTCCATGGAGAAATGGAATTAAAGTAAGCAGATGAGATTGCTTTTTGCAATGATGAGACTATTTTAAAATGATTGCAGTCACGGTTACGCAACTTTGTGAATATTCTAAAGCCACTGAATTATGTTTCAAATGGTTTCACCAGAGAGACAGAAGGAAGGGGAAAGTGAGAAAGTAAGCCACCAGGTCTGGGACTTGAACCACGGTTAGCCATGTGGGAGTCCAGCACCTCAACCACCACACCATCTGCTCTCTGCGAGTGTGATTTTCAAGCTGCTAGGCTAGGTCTCATTCTTGAACCTTGATCTACCATGTAGGAATCCAGTGCCTCAACCACCATGCCGCCTGCTGGCCTGGATACCATAACACTTTAAAAGACTAATGACAAAGAGATGAAAATTTTGTAACATATGTTACGAGGAGATATGATTGCTAATATAAAAAGAACTCCCAGGCATTAGAAGAAGATAATCCAGTGGAAACAAAAGATTTCAAGAAGTGATAGCCGTAAGAGAAAATGCAAATAATCAAAAATCATAAAAAAATGCTCGGCTTCACAAAATAGGAAAAAATCTATTTTATAACATATAGGTAAAAAATAAAAGAATGACAATACTGTATGAGGAAAAACAAAATCAAGATAATCAACAAACTAAAAAAGAGTATTTGCAACATATATCACAAAGGAGGTAATTTTCCTAATATATGCTATATTGCATTTATAAGTTAGTAAGAAAATAAGAAAGGACAAAGACCAGTCACAGAAATAAAAATACAAATGGCTCTTAAATACATGAAAGATGTTGAACTTCACTCACAAGGGT